ACTACTGGTGATACTTCATTAATACTATGAATACTCGATCGCTTATCCCAAACTGCCGGAACTACCTCTACTTTCGCTCTGTAATCCCAGCGGGGATTACGTTTTTTTTTGGACCTGTAGTGAAGGTAGGGCTACCATTATTATTGGAAGGCCTTCTTATGTAAGCTCCAGCCTTTGGGGCTTTTCCGTTTTCAGCCTTCTGTGGGCGTCGGCAATCTCGTGCCACGTTGCCTGTAATGCCACAGTTATAGCACACTGTCTGGTCATTTCTTTTCTGCTTTTGAAAGCAGTTTCTTGCCTTGTGCCCAACTTTACCACAGTTAAAGCACTGGAAGCCATCGGGCTTACTCTGTGTATTAGACAGATTAGCCTTGCTAGACTTATTAACTGCATTTATAGCAGAATGTTTAGGCTTATAGATCTGCTTTTCTCGTAACTCTTCTCGAGTGGCTACTTCAATTAAATCTAGTAAAATTGCTCGAGGGGTATTTGCTTCATTTACATGTCCTCTAGCTGCATTACTGTTTTGCCCTCGTTCATACTCAGATTTTAGAGTATCTTGCAACATATCCTCGCTTGGATGTGCATAAGCCTTGCACAATCTATTACCTAACTCTTGTAGCTTATGTTCAAAAACTCGGACCAACTCGCCATGTTGTTGATATAGGTTACGCATTTCTGTTAAAATTACATTAGTAGTTTCTCGTGTCCTATACTCGTCTAGTAACTTACGCACTAGGTATTGATAGTCTGTTGTTTCACGCAGCTTGCCATAAGCCCTAATGTAACGTTTAGCTTCTCCTGCTGTTCTTAAATGTAATATATCAGCTTTCTCGGCATCAGTACAGCCTGATATTCTAGCTGCTTCATCTAAGGCATTGATAAAGCTTTCGACATCCTCATCTATATTACCATGATACAGCGGTATGGCACTTGTTAAGTGTGTTGCCCGCGTGGCCCTATTGTGTGGGTTGCTCTGCTGCGGCTTCATGGTTAGTGTCAGCCCTTCTATCGACTCTAGGGCATGTACCACCCTCTTCTGTAGTCGTATCTACACCAGCAGTAGCCATAACTGCTTAATTCTAACTTATTTCTAACTTATACTACTTATAGTACTTCGGCTGACTTTCTTTACTCTAACCAACCTGTTAGAAGAGTTACTCCAAAAATCCTCGAGACTGCGCCAGCTGTGACGAGTAGCACTCAGGTGAGCTTAATTGTTGGAGCTTCAATTAAAACTACTCTTCACATCTAGCCATGGCTTCTAAGACTCCAACTCTACTGTAAGTGTAGTCTCTCTCTCTCTTGATCAGCTAGTGTAGAAAATAGTAAGCATAAAAAGTAAAGATTTATAAGTAATAATTTGATAAACTAATATTTTAAGTGTGTAATGCTTTATAACAATTAATGAATGTTAAATAAATATTATTTTGAGTGTTTACTCTTGGCCTGAGACTCATTTTCTTTAGTCTAACTGTAAACTCCTCGAGTTAGTGACTTGTGGCTCCACTCGTCACGACAAATTCTCCAATAAATAAATTTTTTATAAGTACTGTAGATATGGACTCTGGTGTGACAAAAAAAAGTGCGGTCAAAAAAGGATTGAGTGTGTGACTTAAGGGAATGAAATCAAAATTGGTGGCCAGACTAGTAGCTACACTTGAAGCAACTTGAAATGTTTGAGGAAATTTTACAAATTGCTTCATGAGTTTTAGTATTTAAAATTACATATAATAAAAGCTTAAGGGTTTTAAATATAAGCAAGTAGGCAAAGATAGATATAAAAAGAAAAAAGGTGACAAGAGGACGCCTGTGTTACGAAATAAACCTTGAGAATTAATAAACAGGAACTTGGTCGTGTAAGAGGCATTGCCTAGAAGTAAGCAGCAAGACACGTGCATTACTCAAAATAAGTTTGAGAGGCGAGCTTGGAAACCAGTGACCAAGATCAGCAGCAGAGTTAGTAAGAACTGTTGTATAGAAACAGGATGTAGACACCAGTACATGTGACAGTTTTATGTAGTGCTGACGTCGCCCTCTTAGCACTAGGAAAGCTGTAGAAAAGTTTAGATTTGGTGAATCATATCGGCACTTTGAGGTGGTATTAGTTATAGCACATGGGTGTAGCAGTACAAGTGAAAAGATGGCTGGCTAACACCACTTATCTATGCCCAATTACTTGAGAGTTTTGGTTTAGGTTCTGGTTTAGCCCGGGAATTCCCATAAAGTACCCAATAGGAGCACAGAACTACTTGTGGGTGATGCTGTGTCCTATTTAGTGGGTCGAATTAACACAAGGAAAATAGAGTTTAAAAACCCATGTCAGAGACTGAAAAATCAGTTCTCTGCCGAAGTTCTCTCCAAGAAGAAAGTTCTCCAAACCAAAATGAAAATAAAGTTCAACAACGTTTTAGTGGAATGAAAAATAGGAATTTGGAGCTTGTGAAAATAATGAAGATACTATTTCTAGCCTTGTTTGTTTATACTTTTATAGTCCCTAGTTGCAGGCTCGAAAATATAATCATTGCATTTTGATTCAACTTGTTTCTGTACCTTTTTGGTCATCCCTATTTTTCTTTTTTAAATTAACAACTTCCACTAATTTTGTTTTCATATATAACCTAAGTTTTAAATAATGATAAAAATGATGTGATTCAAAACAATGAGAGATTTACCATGTTAAACTGTACACTTCAACTGAAATTATTTTGATATTTTAAGCAAGTGTGTGTGGGGGGGGCGAATAACATCTTAGATAAATAAATAAGATAATTATGCACAGGGCTACCTTCATATTTCTATGCAGAAAACTAGTAAACTATTTTTAAAAAAGCAGTTTGGAAAAATTGGAATAAAAGAAATAAGTTGGGCATATAAATTTGCAAAATATTTGTCATTAAGAACAAAGCTGCTCGATGGGCTATCTGCAATGCACCCACTACAGGGACTGAACCCCACATTATAGCTTTATAACACTCAGACATTATAATTTTCTTACACTGAAAATATATTTCTGACAGGTACTTACTTCTGCTGACATAAGAAGCTATTCTCATTCTGTGTTGCCCTCTATTGGAATTTTTTTTTTGCATGCCACAAGCCTTTCACTCCCACGTACCCCTCAGTTCACAAGGTTTAACTGAATCTTGCATATAAATTATCGTGCAACAAACCTCCACCAATAGACTTGCCTATTTTGAAAAGCAGACCAAACCCAATTTAGTAATCCCTCTCCTTGCACCCTTACCAATTGGTTTGGCTTTTAATTTGATTGACTTATTCTTCCTTGTCTTCTTTTTCTCTTCAGTTATTCCAAGCATCTTTCTATCAGATTAGGCACCTTACTTTTTCCCTGGCATCTCATCTTTATTCTTTGGAGGAAATTCTTCAAGTGGATATGTGGACCACTCATCTCTCATCAGCATCATGTTGCTGTTTCTTCCTCATTGAGTGATCATCTTCAACATATTGCCATTCTTCAGACTTCTGTGTGACTAACTGGATCAATTTTCTTTTTTTCATTATATATATTTTATAGGGGCTTGTCCCATGTTTCAGTCTAGATCCTGCTTTGTCATGAGTGGTGCCTGTTCAGGTATACTTCAATAAAGAAAATTTGTACTCAAGTCTGCACTGTAAGGCCATGTTGACTTCACTTTCATAATTTCCATGGCCACTAAATGCATACTATTCTTTACTATCACATATGCTAGAGATGGGGTGTTCCACAAGATCACTCATAAGTTATTCCTTGCAATATCTTTGCTTCATAGATATGCCCATTTTGGACCATAATTACCCATGAATTTCATGGGTAAAGCAGAAGGGGATTGCTGCTCATCCCTACCATTCTTTAGATTGAATTCCTCCTGGACCTGCAGAACCTGGTCAGGTTGACAAGGACTTTGATCGCCTGTTACCACCTCCTGATTTTGCCATACCCCCCCATGAGGATTCTGTTTGGCTGTCCATGTTTTTTCAGACTTTATTTCTCAGGTATGTGATGTCTTATCCCTTGCTCCTATATCTTATGACCCACATCTTTTGTTATTGCATGAACGTAGTCCCCAATCCTATTTGGTTTTCACCCATCCCCTGACATTCAGGTTCATGGTGACCAGTGTGTCTCTCAGTTGGTCAATGTTGTTAGTATGTCTTGTCCCTCATGGACTTTGGGTCAGTTGGCCCTCGCATTTCATAGGGTGGACTGTCCATATCTTGACTAACAGCTGTTGGGTTCGGTTTTGCCTATTTGGGGGTGGGCCCCGAATCTCCCGTTAGTATCACCCATGCCCAATTTACCCACCTCCATCTTACCCTCATGACCCTTTTGCAGTACCTTTCCATGATTCATTTCCTGTCTGAGGCTCTTCATAGAAATTCTGAGGGGTTTTCTGGGGACACCCTCTCCCTCCTTACCTCCCGGTTGGCTCATTTATTGTCTTCAACTCTGGCTTTACAAATATGGTTTCTTTGATGTTGGGACCTTTTAGGTTGTGATGTTGTTTTATCTCAAACCCGTTTTCCTGCTCCTTAACTCTTAGATTTGTGTATAGCTTCATTTTTAACATGTTTCATCTTTGATATGGTTATGGGATTCTTGGAGTCTCAGGTGGCAAATACCCAGCAACACTACCATTTCCCATCTTGTTTCCCATTTATCTCAGTCAGAGCCAAGTGTGGCACTTATTTCAATTTCATGTCCCCCCCTTCCCATCGTTTACCTGTCTCTCCTTCTCGCAGTGCCATGGCTTGCCATTTTTCTTGATGACACATGATATGCCGCCAACAGTACAGGTGACTACTTGGTGGGTTTGGGCCCGGTGGGAACTCACCTTGCAGCCTTTGTTCATCAGTGGTGCCCTTTCATCTTGGATGTTTGGGTTCTTTAGGTTTTGTCAGAGGGATTCGAAATTCTGTTTCTTGCCTCACCTCCCTTGTCCCAGGTCCCTGTTTCCTTCCCTTCTCTTCGGGATCCAGTAACTTGCCAGCATCTGGCAAAGTTCATCCAATGGAATGGTCGTTAAATCCTCAAGTTTTCCTGTGGTTATGCACTTGGGTGGATATCTGCACCTGAATGCATTTGCCATTATCCTCAGTTACCTCTGTTTTGATCTCCAGTGCCTCATCCACTTGCTCTGGCTGTAAATGCAATCAGTAAGGATTGGACAGACAAATTCCTTTGTGTTTATCCTCCTACCCAACTCCTTCCTTACTGGGTGGACCAACTGTGGTCTCCACACTGCTCCATATATAATCTTATCCATCATTGCCTCTTCTCAGAACTACATCCCTTACATGGCAACCTTGGTCCCAGGTAATTCATCCCACCATTTCTACTCTTTGTTTTCATGCCTGGTGTTTATCTGGTCCTTGGTAAGGAGATCTGATTTATCATGGCAAGTAGCTTCATTGTTGGCACATTCTGTTTGACCTTCTTCCATGGAGGTTTGTCAATGTTTTCTGCCATTGGTCTTTGGGTATTTGGTATTTCCTTCTTGTTTTCGCCTGTGGACATTGTCAGTTGGATTTGTTTGCCATCGATGTCTCACATACTCTGTACAATTCCTCTTATCTCTTTCTTTACCTGGATCAATCTTTTTTCCACAAAACTGTAACAACTCGAGAGGGTAATTCCTCCTATTTGCCAATTTCCCTTCCTTCCATTCCCATCTCTCTTCCAGGTCTGATCTAGATTAACTTCTATGTCCAGTTAGTGCTCTTTGTTGTTATATTGCCCACATGACTTCTTTCCATCATAACCATTCCTGCCTATTCATCCCTTGGCAAATATCCTCTATTCACTTGCACTCAGATGTCATTCTTTTTTCGTCTGGTTTCATGTTTGAGATTGTATATTCTCAAAATGGTTTAATTTAATTTAATATACTCAGTTTTTTTGTACATTATTTCTGGTCACATGTCTTATTTACTTCAAATGCTTTTGTCAACTACATCACCATGAACTCTGAAGTCAATGTCATCACATCG